GGACCCCTCATCAGATAAAATGTTTTTCGCTGGTGAACCATCAGACAAGCCGTGCACCAAACGCAATATCTTATCCGAAATTGCTAGAATTTTTGACCCTCTGGGATTTCTGTCGCCTGTCTCATTCTGCGCTAAACACTTAATGCAAAGGCTGTGGCTTTCTAAAACCGGCTGGGACGAGCCAGTCGAACAATCTATCCAAAACCGTTGGTCTCAAATTCAATCAGAACTTCCTGGTTTAGCTAAAATACATTTTCCTAGATACATTTTTTCGCAAAATATTCTACGTTGCCAGCTGCACGGATTCTCTGACGGCTCCAAGTTAGGCTACGCTGCTGCGGTCTATCTTCGCATAGAGTCTCCCGAGGGTGTCATTCAAACCTCTTTGATCATTGGCAAGGCTCGAGTAGCACTCCTCAAATCGCAAAGTGTACCTAGATTGGAACTCCTAGGTGCCACTCTCCTATCCAACCTTCTTCAGTTTGTTATGGAGTCATACACTAAACTAACTATTATCGACGAAGTTTTCGCTTACACGGATTCCCAAGTTGTCTTGGCTTGGATTGCTAGCTCACCACATCGATGGAAGAGCTTTGTAGCCAATCGGGTTAGCCACATCCAAGAAGCGATCCCAAATGTCAAGTGGTATCACGTGTCCACTCACGAAAATCCCGCAGACTGTGCAAGCCGTGGCTTAACTCCTGCCAGTCTGGCAGATCATCCCTTATGGTTTCAAGGACCTCCCTGGCTTCTTCAACCAAGTTCTTCATGGAATCGACAACCCCCAAATTCATGTGGTAATCAAATAGCCGCAATCGAAGAAAGGAGTCCCATCCTTTTAACGGCCCTGATTGAGGATCATATCCTCGACACTCTATTAGACAAATATTCCTCTTTGTCTAAAATACAGAAAATCCTTTGTCAGTGCCTGAGAGTTTTTCACAATTATCGTCACAAATCGTCTCCGCTTACCGGAGCGATCTCCTCCTTTGAACTTCAAAACGCTTTGCTCCTTTTATCCAAAAGAGCTCAACAACGACGATTTTCAAGTCTCATTGCCCAAATTCGAAACAATGAGCTAGTGTCAAAGTCCTTTCGACCTCTTGCTTCTTTTCTTGACAAGGAGGGACTGGTCAGAGTGACACGTAAAATGATAAAAGTTTAAATTAGATACCGCTCCTAAAATTTTAATTCCACACACTAAATTCAATCAACACTACCTATATTCAAAACTGAAGAGTTTTTGGTTAGTTAGCCCATCTCCGGCAGGTACTGAGGTCCCTGGTTGCGGGAGACTACTCAGCTATAGTTGTTATTTTGAGCCAATATCCCTAGATTGATTTTTTAATTTGTTTGCTAGGAGGTTCGCTCGTCAGGGTGGGAAAGTGTTAGTAGATTCAACAAAGGCCCTAATGTAGGCTCTGAATCTAAAAATTATTTTTTTTATCTGAGTTGTTTACAGCATGAAACGATTTTTGTTAAATACATGAACAATGCACATGCTATAAAAAATGTTATAAACAAACAAAAACACATAAAATAATAATATGTACTTGTATAAATTGAACTCTCAAAAACAAAATAACAAATATTCAACTTACCTGTGATCGCTCCTTATGACATACAAACTAATCACAAAATGAAATGAACGATCAGTTTAATACAAAATGAAAATTGAATAACGAACAATGGAGGACAAGCGGTCTAAGGGACCAACCCAGCTTCTTCTGCAGTCTAGTCCTCTGGTTCCCATTCTCTTCTACATACTCTTTCGGTACGCTTTTCGTTACGGCGCGCCCCGTTCCCATAAACTTTACAGCGTATTACACAGGGGCGGCTGGTGCATAAGGGCTTCAGAGCTGCAGAACCCCCAAAATTTTCATAATTACCCGAGTAATTACCTGACTAATTTTTTAATTATTTAATATTTTTACCATACGAGGCGAAGCCGAGTTTGATAATATTTTCAAGTTGAAATAAATTATTTTCGACGAATAAAACACTATACTTTTTGAATGACCATGTTTTGGTTTTTGCTGTTCAACTTATGTTTTTCTCACAAGGGTTCCTACTTGGTTTGATAGATGGCGCTTAAAAACGTGAATGAATCAAGGCGCCATCTATCAAAAGTTCTCGATTTTGCAATAATTTCATAACTATATTTTGCTTCTATGATAGTTCTATTACATTATATATAGCAAAATTTAGATAATTTTGTGATGAACTACATATGTGTTTTTTCATTGTGTTTCACAGAATTAAATTATAATTGTATTGAAAAAATGTATTTAACATGTAAAATCCTAATCATTCACTTTGGTCACTAGTGACGAAAGTTAACGTTATGGGATATTCTGTCGGTAAAATATGACGAAAGTTGTATATTTTTTGATGGTTATAGAAACAATAATTTTTTTGAAGATTTAAAATTAACCTTTTTGGGCGTCGCCGTGGTAACCGAAAAAATGGCCGCGCACCTGCAGTGGTCGTCACCCTATCCCAAACGAATATGCCACTAGGGGAGAACCTCCAAATTTTTGTGCCACGAGCCGCCACTGGCATTACATGGTTGCAACGTTTACTTTTATTCAGTAAACGTTTTTTTAAAAAGTTAAGATTTGAAGAAATAATATTTTAAATAGGTGGTTTTCCTCAGTATGCCACTAAAACTGAACAAGTTTAACACATTTAAAAATCGTTTTCGCGAAAGCGGAAAAAAAATCGCTCGACATGTAAACATATTATTATACTCTCCACACAAAACCTAAATTCGGTTGAATTTGACATCGCAAATCGTATAGGCGAAAATTCTCCTTATTTTCTTATAGCCATTGCTTATAGGTATTTGCAATGAATATCATACGTTGTCTCAACAATCGAAATACCTATAACAAAATAAAACTTCTTTCTTGAAAAATTAAGTGGACGTTTCGAAAATCTATTTGGCCTTTTTCAAAGAATATTTTAGAACCTTGCTGATGATAAAACAGCTCTTGAAGAAGATCAGATACATGATGCATGCTCGAAAAGAAGGCATAATTTTTCAAGGAAAGAGAGTTTTCGAGTCCTCATTATTTAACTCATATTATTTTAATAAAAAAGTTCATTGGGCCAATGACCGTACTTCAATTAATCGAGTTCATCATTATTATGAACCAAAGTTTTTTCAGTGAAAATAAATCTACTTATCTGATAAGTAGTATTTTGATTTTTTGTCTTAACTTTCTCAACAATTCCCATATTACATCATCATACTTCACTTTCTTAACCTTGTCGTTTCAATGGACCAAAAAAACGCGGGACCTAACACACAAGCATAAAAGATATTTGAAAATTTACAGCCTTTTATCAGGGACGGTATCAGCCAAAATTTATGACGCTCCGTCCCCCAATCGCTAAACTCTCTACCTTAGACCTCTAGTTGTCCACTCTTTCTCTTATCAGGGACGGATGCGAAAGCCGACCCTTTCGGCAGACAGCATAAATATATCTAATTCTCCAATAAAATTCAAAAAAGCTATTTGTGAAGCTCACGCTACATCATAAAATCAATTTGAAGCTATCGCCACTATACGCGTTATTTTCTTTGAATGACATATAGCTTTTGATCTGTGGAGTAGAAATTAATCTACAGGAAATATTGCTTTGAGTCACGAAACATGCATTTTCTGAAGTGGAATGCTATTTTTATAATTTTATAAACCAGAAACTTCAATGGTTTTAGAATACGTAGTACAAACCAAGCATTATCCACCTGTATAATTAATTTGTACCTACCAACGTAGGAGTTCTTGTAAACACGAACATCATCCTGAACTTTATCTTTGTTTTTACATGCCTACGTTTGACAACAATTCTTTATTTTTTTTTAGGCGTAGCTTTCTTGATAGGAAATCACAATTGAAAGGGTATCCAATAATTATGAGCATCTAACTTGAACAAGATTCTACTAGAAGAAATAATGTCACAAGTTCCTGTAACCCTTATACGTACAGATTCACTCCAACTTTGGCCCATTTTTAACTAATGTTCTTACGTATTTCTGTTTCAAATTGAATTTTTTCACAAAAATAGAGCCATCACCAACTCAATTGGCCTCGTTCAAAACTGTGAATACGTGGTTTGTCGGTTTTTGTCAGTGTCACATAATTATTTATCAGGAGATACTGAGGTAATGACTATGGTTAAGTGATAAATTATTTTATAAAGTAGTGAACGTTATTTGACAAAACTATGACACATTAAATAAATCAAAATTGACAACAATTAAATAACAAAAAAAAAGATAGATAGAATTCAAAAATATGATACTTTTTCTATTGCTCAGGTTCAGACCTGAATCAACTTCTGATGTGCTCCTAAGCCGCGATTATTTTCTACGAAAAGCAAAACTTTTCTTTTTTTCCTCCAGTTCTCAAATTCATTAAACATTTTATTGTAAATAGATGTGCGATTTCATGGGGTTACCTCGTTATTTTGATGTAACGTACCACTCTGACCTGAAAACCTTGCGGCACTTGCTGGTCGAATAATGAAGATAACTCGAATGATACTTATTTATTTGGAATACAAAATCGAATCATTCTAATTCATTTTACAATAATAATGCCTGACTGGCAACAACCTCAAGTTAGGTTAACAAGCCACACGCCGTTCTGGCCAAACCTTACCCCCCTTTTCTTGTGTCAAAAATGTCTAATGTCAATGAAACAAATCACTCTCCCCTTTTCTGGCACAAACAAAATCCAGTAGCGTAACACATTTAGGTTGGGCAAGACAGTAGATGATGTTTAATTTATGTGGAATGAGATTAGCCGTCGCTGCTTCTGCTTCCATAATTATTTTCTGTAGACACTTTTTCTTACTTTTGTTTCAAAACCGACCTTCTATTGCAATATGCCTCAGTGACCCTATCCAATAATCAAAGTGGCAGTTAAAGGAGAAGAAAGCCTGAACCCGTCATTATTTTTCAATCTAAATTTTAAACTTTAATTTTTCAGATCTGAAAAATATGGAATACGAGGATGACACTCATTTTTGTTTGAAATGCAACATAACAATTGTCGGCTTAGACAATTATGTTTTCCATAGAAAATCTAGCTGTTCAAAAAGCACTGTTGAACCATCAAAATCTTCCTTACCGAGTCAACTTTTACCTCCTGATGCAATTGGCTCGGAAGCTGCCGATTTCTTTTCTTCTCTAGAGCTTAGAAGTAGCTCGGAAAAACCTGCTGTACAATCCACATCAGGAAAAAGTTTTAGTGGTATTTTAACTAGAAGCAAAATCAGTGCTGCAATCCAGGCAACTGTACCGCAGAAAGATGCAGAACCGTCAAAGTCAGGAAAAAATGTCTGGATTGGTGGTAACCAAATAAAAGATCTCGGAACAGGCGACAACCAGTCAAAATTAATTAAAGCTGTTGCGCATTTGGAAAGGCAAAAACATTCCAGTAATAGTTCTCAATCCACTCCAACCCTTGGGGCAGTTTATAAAGACTCTGAAGACTATTCAGAAGATGATGAATATGACGAAGATGAGTCTTCCGAAGAAGACTGTGCGCCACCAAGAAATTACACGGGAGGCAAATGGAGACCTAGTTCACCAGTGCATTGGAGTAACAATACAAATCGTAGTGGCAGTAGAGACTGGAATGAGGCCCCACCATGTTTCACGGGAGGTGAATGGAAACACAAAAGTCTTCTATCATCATCTTATACCAGAGGTAAATGGAAGCCGTTTGAAGATGATAGCCATCCTACTATAGGTGGAAAACATCCTCCTCCAAGTCATACTAAAGGCAAGTGGAAATCAAAAATGGACAATGAAGATGATCGATATCCACCAGCATCACACACGGAAGGAAAATGGAATCCAAAAATTGACAATGAAGATGATCGGTATCCACCAGAGTCACATACGAAGGGAAAATGGAAACCAAAAGTTGAAGATGAAAATAATATGGTTTCCCCACCGTCACATACAAAAGGTAAGAAAAACAATAATCCCCTTAAAGTCTAATATTGATATTTTCTCACACTACTTGTTAAATAATAACATATCGCTTCGTTTGTAATCATATCAAGGTTTTGTGTATTCAGGATTTATTTCCAACCGTGCGGTACTTATATGAGCTTTGACAATCATCATTTTGTGAAGTAATTTATTTATTTTCCGTGTATTTCTACATACATATACCTATGTACTGCACCAAGAACTGTCAGAGCATTCAGGTTCAACTTATAAACAGGCGGTGACAGTTGCAAAGGTGCAAATCCGCGAATAACAGCTTAAGATTGTATAAATTCGTGAATAATTTTTTTCCATAGAAAAGGAGAGATTTAAATCTTGTTCAAAACCATCTCCAAGGGACAAGTTAAAATCTGTAGCTCGCAAACCGTCCACATCAAAAAATCCAGAAAATACTCCAAAACCTTCTAAACCGACACCAGGCAAATCCTTAAAAAGTAAACAGAATCAAGACAAAGTCAGAAAACAACTTATTAGAAATGTAGATAATGATTCACCTCCTAGGTAAGAATTTTGTTTATCCTCTATTTAAATTTAAATTTTAGATTACATTCTCTTTATTTTTTCAAGAAATGTCAGTATTCCTTGTTGGTGTCACACATGCAACAGAATGCTCGCTTCAAAACTAGTTTACGTACGCCATTTGAAGTCCAAGTTACATTTTAAAAGAGCTGAAGCTGCAAGGCAGTTTGATAGTAGTCCAATTCTCAGGAAAACTAACATTGAGGATAAATCTAGCGGCCTTTCAGTAGAAAAATCATGTGATCTTCCAGTAGTAGAGCCAACTCATTCTTTTCAGCCTTCAACAGGTGATAAACTGGTCAAAAAACGTAAGAGAAGAAACATTTTTGAAATTTGCGTTGTTTGCCGCTCAAAAGTTAATAAGTATTTGATGGGCAAACATATCGTATCACATTACCACTATAGAAGAGGTGATATTACTAGTGAAGCTTCTAAAAATCTTGTTCTAAGTAATATATTGAGTGTTGTCCTAGAAAGTCCTTTCCAATGCAGCATGTGTAAATTTTATTGCAACACTCACCATCATTTCGTGGATCATTGGAAATCCAAATTCCATCTTGATCATGATAAAAATTATCCTGGATATTATTTTTGCGAATTATGCGAACAACAAAGCCCAACCTCAGAAGAAATGCATGAACATTTAAACTCTCCGCAGCATTTTGAAGTGATCTCGGTTATCAATGGATCGATACCGATAACAATTAAAAAGATTGATGGAAAATCTTGCCTCAGCTGCCAAAAATTATTTACCCTAAATATTCAATTATTGAATCACTGTCGAAAGACTGGGCATGATTCATCGAATGTCAGCATCTGCAATAAAGAAGATTATAAGTGTAGTAAATGTAGTATGACGTTTTTTAAAGCCATATCTTTACAGAGGCATTTCAAAAGGAAGCATGGTCATGATTACTTTTTTTGTGGAATTTGTAATGTTGAGTTCAAAAGTAGCAACGAGGCTAAATTACATAGGATGTCACTAAAGCACAGGTAAAATTTTCGCCTATATTCACTCAAGATTTGAAATGAAGAGTAGGTATGTTTTCTTTTAGATATGCTGCCTTGGCCAAAAGAGAGCCCAAAAACCTTAAAAGAAATTGCCAATATTGTCAAAAAAAATTTGACAATTTTCTGTTGTTGAAAGAGCATCTTCAGTCTGATCATCCAGATCACAAAATCAGGTAAGAACACTTTTTTTAAAACTGATAAAGAATAAATACAGAGATAGAAAGTTTAGTTTTCGTTTTTATGTTACACCTATAGTGATGCCACGAGATGAGACGAGACGAGAATCCGCTTTCTCTCGTCTTGTCTCGAAGGTTCGAGAGAAAATGAGTCTCTCGTCTCGTTTTCTCTCGTCTCTCGTGAGTTTTGACGCATAGTAAGTTAATTTCGTCTCCAAGGTCAATAAAATGCAAAAAATAAAAATGTATTCTGGCTCATGTATAAAAATGTAATATTACCAGAGATATGGAAGAGTTTTTGGTTTTAATAGAATAAGGGTCCATCTTGCACAACTGGCCCAATTTGAAGGACCGCCATTTTTATCACTTGTCAAATTCGGGAGTTGGAAAAATAGTTTATGAACGACTCATAACTCCAAAAATAACAAAAATAAATCTTTTAAAACACCACTCTGATGAAATTATGTCAGAGAAAGCAGGAAAAATCCAACAACAACAATCTGTAACCGACTAAAAGTGAGGTTATGTTGTGAAAAATCTGTCAGATTGAAGTTGTTGACGTAAAAACTAGTAAAAAGTCATAAAAATGGCAGCACCCTATGCGTTCCCATAAAATCGGATGCGCAGTTGTCTAGGCGCATTCTATTTCTCCCTCACCTATCTCTGAATATCACCCATAATACCCAAAGGTTCTGGAAAATATTGAAATTTTCCTGTTTTTCGCAACGCCACTGGAATAATCAAGCCTATTTTGAGGAAAATAGTTTCAATAAAATCGACGATTTTGTTTTTGTGATATCATAATAGTATACAGGGTGGTCCATTTAACTTGAGACAGTCTAATATCTCGAAAACGGTGCGTTTTTGAAAAAATAAGTTCAAATAAAAGTTACATGGTATCATGTGGGAAACAAAATGGCGTTACTGATTTTTGACTTTGACAACGTTTTCAAGGTTATTTCAAGGTCAACTCTTTTTTTTCAATGGAAATATATTTTTTTATCACAGAATCTTATTCTACAGAAAAAAACAAGTTACTTTTACTTGAAGCATTTTTCTATCCGGTTTCAATTTAAGCTGATAAAAAAGAACGAATATTTTTTTTTGTTTTCTCCTCAGAAAATCGAACAGTAGAGAAAGGTTACCAAAAATACCTCAAAAACTATAACAATTGATCAAAATGACGATCGCCAACTTCAACACACTTGTCAATTCACTTAAAAAATCAAATACACAGTTTATCAAGAGGTTCCCACAACACCGGATAATATGATGGAACACATAGGAAATGCTTAGAGCTGTCAGTAAAGAAACTGTAATTTGGTGCCATGAAAGCTTTTTACAGCGAATTAACAAGTGTGTTGAAGTTGGCGGTCGTCAATTTGATGAATTGTTATATTTTTTGAGGTATTTTTGGTAACCCTTCTCTACTTTTTGATTTTGTGAGGAGGAAAAAAGAATTATTCGTTCTTTTTTATCAGCTTAAATTGAAACTGGATCGAAAAATGCTTCAAGTAAAAGTTACTTGTTTTTTCCTGTAGAATAAGATTCTGTATTACAAAAATATATTTCCATTGAAAAAAAAGAGTTGACCTTGAAATAACCTTGAAAACGTTGTCAAGGTCAAAAATCAGTACCGCCACTTTATTTCCCAAATGATACCATGTAACTTTTATTTGAACTTATTTTTTCAAAAACGCACCGTTTTCGAGATATTAGACTGTCTCAAGTTAAATGGACCACCCTGTATTATAAAATAAGTGTGGTAACTGGGTTATTACCGCACGCGAGAGAAATTTGCGAACCGAGCCGGTGAGGCGAGGTTTGCAATCTCTAAGGGTAAAGGTATTTGTACAGTATTTTATAAATTTATCTACAACCGTGTGGTGAAGAATATCCGAAAAAAGTTTAAAAAATTATAGAAAAAAAATTACGTCTCTGGCTGGCTGTCTGTCACGTTTGACAGTAGACGAGTAGAATTTCGCGCGCGTCGTTTGGTCAACTTTACCGCACACTATGGCTCGAAGTAACTTTACCGCATATGCAGTCGACTTTACCGCATAGTGTGCAGTAAAATGCTACTTTTCACTTGCAAATAAGTACGGTAAAGTGCACTTTACCGCACGCTCGTAGGTAAAATTATTATAGAGCCACTGGAAACATTTGAATTTGTCTAATCTTTTGAAAGCAGCATCAGCTAATGATTTATAGCAGGTGTTGAACCAAAATGCTGTTGTATTGATCTGCTGCGTAAACTTATTATGCATACAGTTTAGATGTTATATTAACACAAAATAAAACACTCTATAATTAGTTATATTTGAACAATTCAAAAGCAATATAACAATCAACTTATATCGCTCGAGACAGCGAGAGAACTCAAGAAATTCTCGACGAGAGAACTCGAGAAATTCTCGACGAAAGAAAGCATTCTCTCATCTCGTCCCGGAGTAATTTTTCGAGAGAAAATCGGTATCTCGTCGAGACGAGACGTCTTGGCGGCATCACTAGTTACACCTCTGGTTGTAAGTAGTATTATTTCATAAATTTAGTTTTATTTCTCTACACTGAGTTTCTCATACCGGGTACATCGATAGGAAGTTTTCAATGAGTGATAGTTGGGGTTATTTGGAAACTGTTATTTGACCATACTTTCCCTTATGCAAAGTTTCGTCGTTTTTGAGATATCAGCATCTTTAGATATTTTTGGGAAATATTTGAATTGTTCCTAAAAGATATTGTTTTTGTGGTAGTAACCACTTCAGCCTTTCTCAATTTTTTTTTCCAACATTCCTGATATGCACCCTTTCGAAACAATACGGAGAGAGAAACCGATTGATTGATACACAAAATATCTAACCCAAGTTATGTGTCAAAATACATGGATTCAAAATATCTAAAAATGGCGATATCTCAAAAAACGGCGAAACTTTGCATGGGGGTAAATATGGTCAAACAGCTTCCAAATGACCCCAACTATCACTGATTAAAAACTTCCTATCGATATACCAAACACCTTGTACTCTATATTTTTCTAGATGTCCCCACTGTGGAACCAATTTTACCGTCTCTCAAGAGCTAAGTAACCACCTAAGAGCAAAATTATGCAGATTCTCAGAAGACCCTATTGAGCATCAATTTCGCTGCGATATTTGTCCATATCAGTCTGATTCCACATCAGAAATGCTGTTTCATAAGGCTTTGCATAGTAAGCCTTCGATGATTGAGGTATTTTATGAAGAAGGTGAGGATTTGTTTGATAATTTTGTAGTTAATAGTTTGGAAATTTGTGAATCTTTTTAGGCAATCAATCCAACGCCCAACCTGTTCCTCGATACAAGTGCCCCCTATGTGAGAAAATATATCCAAAACACTCATTAAAGCCACATTTGAGACTACATACTAAAGAAAGGTAGATATCGACATACGAGATTGTAGGTAGGATAGAAATACCTATAGAACTGTAGCAAGCTTTTTTTTGCGGAAAGCAATTTGTTTTGATTATAGTTTCAAATTGGCGAAATGCAAGAATATTGGGGGTTGTCAAACTTTCATCGTAAATATTAAGTAGTTCTGTTTTCTTTTAGACCATACATGTGTAAATCATGTGGCGCCACCTTTACACGAAAAAACAACCTATTGTATCATGAAAAAAATCACGAAAGAAAACAAGTTCATCCTAAAAAGAAATCTGAAGATACGACTTTTTTATGTTCGGCGTGTGGTGCAAGATTCAACAAAAAGTAAGTGATAATCTCATTTTAATCAATTTAGCAAAATAATCAAGTTTTACTGCTTCAAAGCTTGCTTTCTACACTTCTGTTGATAACGGTGTGAGGTTTGGATTTTCATTTAGGGTGATTCGACAATAATTTTCGATAGGTGAAACTAAGTCTGCTTATTTCAGTGCGGTGAATTGAATTTAGTTTCCAAATTTCGATATTTTCGCATTTTCCTGCAAGAATTTTAATTTCTATACACGAACGAGCTGTAAATGACCTAACTACCTATAATTTATTAACCTGTTTCCTGGGCGTTATATGTAACTTAATGCCTCAAGGTGCTCAAGGCATCTTTCGTCGCCGCGGACGTTGAAGGAATGAAGGAACTCTAACACCCGGTCATATTATAAACAGCGATAGTCACAAGAAAGTTCTATTTTTTTATCAAAATTGTTGATCGTTTGTGTTTTTTTTTTTCGACAACATTGCAATAGATAAATGGTACACAACTGTCAGATAATTGACACTGATATTGGGGGGGGATAATTTTCATAAGAGAGATTGATTTAGCCGATACGTCTCGATGGAAATCCATTACACATTTTGGAAGGAAACAAAAAAATGTTTAGATTTCCACAATTTTATTCCAATGAAACCGTAGGTAACATGTTTCATCACACGATTTCATTTAAATTAAATTGTGGAGAACCAGAAACTATTTGTTTCCTTTCAAAGTTGGACAATTTCCATGATGAAGTAAGTTACAAATATCAATTTCGACAACAAAGTCAATGGAATTGGAACGGTTACCAGTTTCTATTCGAAGCTCTAATCAAGTCCATAGAAATCCAGTCGGCCTATAAAATTTGCCAAGCAAATATTAGATTTTTTGTCGATTCATGAAGAAAAAGAGTCAATGAGAGAAATTAACGGCACCATGTTTCTGAAAGAATTACGGAAGGCTGTTATCAGAATCAAACTGGGGAACTTAAAAGGGAGCATTAAATATTATCGCTGATCATAGAGTACGGATGAGATCTCCTTTTTCTTTTAAATGCGTCTCAGCCTTCAATGAGTAACTTGAAAAAGAGCGCCGAAGAAAAGCACATTTTAAACATGACTGTAGAGTACAACTGAGATCTCGCTCTCATTCTGATGACTGTTAGCCTTCGATTGAGATCTTGCGATGCCGAGCATGCGCAGATCAAGACAAGAACTGCCTCAGAATCGATCAGCTAGAAAGAGTTACTGTTAGAAGCTTTCGATTGGATGCGGATCAAGAACTGAGTCCCGAACAGCTGGGAAGAGAACAACTGGAAGAGAGTGGCCTAGACCTTAAGTTATTTTTCGAGTTCAGGAAAGCCGGGGATGGATCAACGGAATGTAGAAAAGAAAAATCCAACAACTGAAGAAAGAAAAACCAGGAACAAGAAGATTGGTCGATTACGACCGATGCTGATCCACAGGGTCAAAGTTATCCTTCAAACGGCCGCTCTGCAAATTTCCATGAAGAGTGCTGCGACTATCCACGAAATCGCAGGAAAGGCAGTTGGCAGCATCGCAATCAACAGGGGACAGGACCAGGTAGCCATTTGTCTAGTATCCATGACGTCAATTCAAGGGAAGAAGAGCCATACATACATGAGGGTAGATCTGGGAGTGAACCAGGAATCCGTCATAATAAACCCTTTCGAGACGGATTTTTATTTCTGTTTCACGTCTTGTAATCATTGATACTATTTCATTTCTCAACATTAGGAAGCTTTTTAGGCAGTTTGTATTTTTTTTAGAATTTTCCAAAATGTATTTGATATTTTGAAAAATGTGACATATTGTCCCACTACTAGTCCATTCTAGCGGGACATTTTAGACCATCAGTCTTGAAATCGTAGAATGATAAACAAAAAGAAATACAAAAAACTGTATTCTAGTACCTAACTAATTTTACCATAAACGAATATTTTCAGCAATTCTTTCAAGCTCAATTTGATTTAGTGGCTTTTTTCTATTCATCCTAGAAAAAAAAAAAACACATTCTTAGGTTACGTGGGACAAATAATCCCACCGATAAAACCTGTTGGGACATAACGTCCCACAAAAAAAAATCAGAAAATATCGCATCAAGGAATATGTAAAATCTCTTCAAACTATTATATACACTAATAGAAAGATATTTCACTTGATTACACAGAATCAACAGTATATAATTGCACTGGAAAAGGTCAGCATGCGCTGTGGACTTGAAAAATTTGAGGTTATCTCGCTTTGTTTGCAAATAACAAACTGCTAGATAATCTCAGGCACTGAAAAGGCTGAACTGGCATTTATATATGTATATTTGGGATCATATTTCCCTGCAGTCAAAATAAAATTTGATTTGGGACATATTGTCCCGTTAGTCTCGAAATGCTTAAGGATCCCGTTTCAAGTCATCTTGTTTCCTTCTTTACGCCGTTGATTTGAAAATGTAGGGCTGGGTGATCAGTGAAGAGTGAAGCTAATGCCTGAAATATTCGCACAATGGTGTCCCAGGAATCCCCTTGAAATCAATATTTCGAAATGAAAAATAATATAAGTTACAAAAACTTTTTTTACTTAGGGTGATTAAGCTCAGCTAAGAGTTTCTCTAACACCTAACCTTCCTAAACGTCAAACTTAATATTTACCTAATATCAATAAACCTACTTACTAGAAAAAAATATATCTATAAAACTATAAAACAGCACATAAGATCCACATCAGATAAGAGGAAGAAGAAGATAACTTAAAATTTGTGATGTATGCATACGCGAAGTCCCTAGCTTTGGAACTAGATATGGAACTCCCATGGGAGCCCCAATTAGTCCAATACTCGCTAATCTGGTGATGGATTATGTTACTCGTAAGTTATCGGAACAAATAGATTTTGCAATTCCGTTTATCTGTTTGTATGTTGATGACTCCCTATCAGCAGTCCAGATAAAGTAGATGAAGTACTAGCTATACTCAATGAAATCAACAACAGTCTAGAATTTACTGTAGAAGTGGAAACGGAGCGCAAGTTGCCATTTTTGGACTTACTAGTAGTTAATTCGGAGCAAAATTTGATCTTTGATCTATAGTAAAGGGTGTCCCAGAATATGTGGGCAATCTCTCGGATTCAGATAGAACACAAAAAAATAACATGACAACTTGCTATAAAAAAATTCCTACGGCCCCTCCCCCCCTACGAAGTTACGTGCTCCTATAGGACGCCTCTGAAAATCGTTTTTCAGTTGATAACTTTCAAAATACCTCGTTTAATTTTTTTTCTTTTAATATGATGGATACTAGATAAGACCTCTTAAAATGGATTCTTTCAAACACACTTGGCCAATCTAGTTTGTCAGGGACGGACTAGCTTTAACACAATAATGACACTGAGGAAATGTCAGTAGAAAGGATTAATTTTCACTCTCGCCAAATAAGGGTTAATATTGATGCATTGTCAAGGGTCGAACAATCTTTCATTAAAATAGGTATGGAATGCACTATATTAGGAGCTCATGTTGAGCCGACATACAAAATTATTTAATAAAAAACCATTGATAAACAAAAACAGATTTTTCTCGAAATCAGCTCATTTTTTCGACATCCAATAAGAGTACCTTTCTTCTACTTCAAGGTTAAAACTATCTAAATATATTATTGCTGTGCCTTCATCATACAGGGTGTAAAAAAAGGAGCATTATTGTGTTAAACCTAGTCCGTGTCTGGCAAACTAGATTGGCCAAGTGTGTTTGAAAGGGTCCATTTTAAGGGGTCTTATCTAGTATCCATCATATTGAAAGAAAAAAAATCACATAAAGTATTTTGAAAGCTATAAAAAAAAAAACGATTTTCAGAGGCGTCCTTTAGGAGCACGTAACTTCGTAAGGGGGGCCGTAGGCATTTTTTTTATAGGAAGTTGTTATGTTATTTTTTTGTATTCTATCGTAATCCGAGAGGTTGCCCACATATTCTGGGACACCCTGTATAACAAGCCTACCAGCTAGAATAAAATTCTTAATTATAATACATGCCATTCACTACATCAAAAAATAAATATTATTAGACAGAGTCGTGACAAGATCTTCAAATTGAGTAATGAAAGGTTTTGGAATGCTAATGTAAATAATCTGCGACACACATTGAAAATCAACAATTACCCAACTGGTGTAATAAATCGCATTTTAAATCAACGCCCACCAGCGGTTATTATAGATTCTCATCATAGTCATGCACAACAGGACATAAGATACTATAAAATTCCTTTCATACCTAAACTCTCAGAAGCAATCTCCAAGAAACTTAAAACTACCAGCACCTAAATTGCCATGTATAATACCACAACAGTAAGAAATCCATTCTCCAAAACTAAAGATTCAACAAAGAATGAATTAAAAAGTAGTGAGGTCTATAAAATACCACGTGGTGAGTGTGAATGTAGCTATATTGGCCAAACTAAACAATATTTGAAAAGTAGGGTTTCTGACCATAAGCGCGACTGTAACTGTGAGTAATATACCGGGTGACAACGAAATCGTTATACAAGGCGTCATTCAGTTGTCTTTAAAGTTAAAAATTTGAAAATCGGGTGTAATTGGTAAGTCATTGAGACGCACATTTCTCGTAAAAAAACAATTGAATATCACTTCCGGTTACTCCAGAAATGGAACCAAGTCAAGAAATTTTTATGGAACCCTATATATTTTTTCACACAATTGGATAGAGCTTAAAATTTCCTTTTCAATGACATATCACAAGCTCCATTTGTTTTCAAGATGGCGGCGTAAAAAAGTGCTTTCTTAAATTCAATATGGCGGCATTCTCTGACGTAACCGACAAGTGAATATGCATTTTAGTAGACATTTTTCGGTAGGCTATTGGACACACTTTAATTCTAGGACTTAATAAGTACCTCTTTCTATTCAAATTTTTTTAAAAATTTGAATCAAAAATTTGCATTTCAAAGAAATTTTAAAATGCCCTTGTTTTTGACAAAACCATTTTTTTTCCAAATT